TCAGCCACAACCCTTAGTATCCGATAGTACAGTGCGCTATAACTATGATTCCCTTTGCAACTGAATCGATAGCTTAAAACAATTTATCACGAGTGCATCTTTTATCAAGGACAAGTCACTATATGTACACAGCAACACACTATCTCCTGACCCAAACACAGATAAATAAGCACTGGTTTGAAAATGAAAACGTTGAATAACTTGGCGCACATTTATTTATTGTATCAATCTTAAACTTTATCACTCTTTCACAAAATTAAAAAAAACCAAAAACCAAAAAACACTTACAGCAACATAAAATATTTGAAACAAATATCGTGCAATTATTAGATGAAAAGTAGATGGTAAAAAATAGAAGACCAGAGTATTTATCCTTACCGTCGTAATACACATTACTTGCGGCTGAGGTTGTGCTGGTGGTATATATGTTATTTGCCCACGTGTGTTAGGCTGAACTCGCACGACTTGGGGCCTCCCTGGGGCTTGCCTGGCCTGGGGGGCATTCCCCCCAGAGGAGGGCTTAGACGGAGTGCTTCCCATAGTCTACACTCAATGCGATAACTCCGACACAGTCAATAAACCAGCATTTCTGAAATTATCAGAAAAGGACTTAACGCTATAGTTACTGCAAAGTTCTGTAAAACTTCCAAGAATAGCTATACTTTATCTTTATAATGTGGATAACATAAAAAATAAGATATGTAAAATAAATGATTTCCTTCGAAATGATGTTTCAATGCTATTGAAATTCCTTATTGAAACATAAAATAATTAATATAATTAGTATTGGTTAACAAACCACACCAATACAACTGCCCTCAGACATATTTGTTATAGCATAGGCAATCAATTTAGTAAGAGCAAAGTGAAAAGAGAAACATTGATCTTTATATCGACAGCCACGCGAGAAACAACAACAGCTTAAAACAAACAAAATAAACATCAAAAAATTATTATGAGTGGCACGGGACAAAACTAGGGATAAGGCAATTTTCTTTCCTATGCAATGAAGTCAATTGCCTCGACTATTGTTTTAACAGTATTAAAATATTTCGTGAGGCAATGCTTGTTTGCTTGTTCCCATTCCCCACCCCTTCTCGGGGCACAATCCTGGATCCACCAGACCAAATGAATAAAACTATACGCAAACCATAATCAATGACTTATTGACACGTTCACTGTAAGACTATAATACTCAAGCCTTGGCCCGATGATAAGACAATAACCATTTAGCCCAGTCATCAGATCGATTCAAAATAGTATCCGCGCACAAGGGCAAAATCGTCTTGTCATCAGTCCTAAAATGTCATTAATTTATTGTTCTGTATAATGAAAAAAAGATAACATTACTGTTCTGATAAAATGTGTTACCCCAGGCTGTGAATAATAGAGAACAAACTACTATAAGAGCACAATACATGTAAAATGTGGCTACATACATGTGTACCGCATGGTCCTTTATGAATGGTGTCCTCGTAAGGACAAGTGCGCACCTGATCGAAACTGATCTGACTACTCTCGATAAAACGCGTATTTTTACATAAGTCTTAATCTCCGTTAGTTAGTGTGTGTGTGTGTGTGTGTGTGTGTGTGTGTGTGTGTGTGTAAGAGAGAGAGACAGAGAGAGAGAGAGAGAGAGAGAAAGGAGAGATGGACAGGGTGAGGTGATTCTTATTCACGCGATATCTGTAGCCATGTACCACTACAACATGGTCCAGCAAAGTACATGTAGTACAACGTTGCTTACCTTCAACCTCTAGTTTTCTGTCTTCTGTTCATGTAAATCACGGAGTTCTTAATTTCAAAACTGTCATAAGAGATAAACCATTTTTGAGTAAAGGCCTAATAGTTAGTTAATTTGTTCTGAAGCTGTCCGAAATAGTTGCCCAGGTCACTGTATCTGGTGTCAGCCGTCTATGTGTTACCCCCTACTGCGACAGCAAAAGAATGTCACCAGCTCCAGCCATAATGATAACGATAAAATGTGGCGATATTGCTACGTGACTAACTCAACTCAAACGAATCTTCTGAAACGCTATATACATATATTTTATCAATCTTGGCAAACAAACTACAGCGCCATTTTCTTCACCCCAGTCTAAAACTAGGACATTTATCGATTTTGTTTTTCTAAGAAGGGGGCTTAAGGAGACACTCGAAGTATGCAATACAATACACAACAAATAACTGCTGCTCGATTCATAAGAGTAGAGGCTTTTCAAAATATTGTTTGGAATAATTCAATTGGCTTTCTTTGCACGTCAAACGCTTGAGTGGCGCACAAAAGCTGCTTTGGAGCCGTCAGTTTGGTAACGAGGAAAACAGAATGGAGACTGCAGCTGCGCACGCAGTCTTGACTCACTGATACATAGTGAAGAGATTATTAAGTATAGCATTGCGCAATAAAAGACGGATAAGTGATCGTCTGAATTGTTTATTAGCGATACTTTTGAAATAAGGAGGGAAAGAAAAGTAAAGGCAGAAAGAAGAATATAGAAACGACGGAATTAAATGAACGAAAGATTAACAGAAAGGGAAATGAAATAAAAAGAAAGAAAAATTGAGAATAAAAGAAAAAAGACAAAAAGTGGGAATAAAAGAAAAAAGACTGAAAGTGTGAATGAAAAAAGAAAACTGAAAGAAAGAATGAAATGAAAAAGAGACAAGGCAGCAAAGCTGTCAAATGTACAAACAAAAAGCAGAAAATAACAATGCACAAAATAGACTACTGTCAATTCTGATGCAAAAGTCCATTATGCTTAACTGCAAATTCAACATCAAATTTTAATTATGCTCAACAGGCAATACCGATGTAAGTATAATGTGTAACAAGCATGAGACCTCAGGCCCATGAAAGTTCAAGTTCACACTTTGAAAATGCCAGAATGAGAAAAATGAAAATTTCACACAAAATTGCATAAATTCAATAATAAATGATAACCCAATTGAGCTGGCTTTCTAATTTGAACTGCATGCTAATCCTAAAAATCATATTTGTAAGTTAAAAATAATGATAAGTATCACAGTTTTCTTTTCATAATGTTTGTAGTAGCAGTGCAAAAAGATTTTTTGTCAATTTTGATGTAACATATTACATAATAAATTACAGAATAATTATCACCAATTTTTTATTATTGACTATAAATAGCATGGGCATGTAGAAAATTTGATTACCATTCAGCTTCATGTCCATGGGAGCTCCGAGTCCCACAATGAATATACCAAAACGATAATAATGAATATTTTACTAAAATGTATAACTTCCGGAAAAAGAAGTCAATTAGACTGCTTTTCCAACCCAGGCTGCATTTTAGTCCTGCGTTTCTTTTTTGAAAGTTTGACAGTCATAAGTAACACGGTTTTCCCATAATGGTCATCATGGCAGCAGCACCAAAAATTGTGTTTTCTTCTATTTTGATGCAACATTACATAATGTTTAACAGCATAATGACCATCAATTTTTAATAATAAAATATTTGTAACATGGACATTCAGAAAACGCGACTAACAAAGGTCTTCAGGCCCATGGAACTTCAAAGTCACATCTTGAAAATGCCAATATGTGAAAACTTAAATTTTCACAAAAAAACTGTTTAACTGCCAGGAAAAATTACCAAACAGACTGCATTGCCTACTGAAGCTGTATTTTAGTCCCATGTTTCTTTCCTGTAAGTTTGAGAACAGTAAGTGACATGATTTTCCTTACATGGTCATCATGGGAGCAGTGCCCAAAATAGGGGTTTCTTCAAATTTTGCGGTTTTTCACTTATCGTGTAACATGTATCAGGGTTGCATATATGCTGAAAAAAAGTGAAAAAAAAAAACAGCATAACTTCCATAAAAATGGCCCGATCATGCTGATTTTCGAACTTGACCTGTGTACTATGAATATTCGTCAGTTCTGTAAGTTTCAAGCCAAAAGGTAAAACGATTTTTCACTTATCGTGATATCGGTGTTGCATAAATGCTGAAAAAAGTGGAAAAAAAACAGCATAACTTTCCTAAAAATGGCCTGATAATGCTGCCGCAACGACGGCGACGGCGACGACAGACGCAGGTGACAGCTTTATGTACAGACGGCGTCTGTGCATAAAAAGTAAAGGGAAAGAAGATTGATGAAATAAAAAAGGAAATAAAAAAAGAGAGCATCTTGAAATTAAAAGGGGTTTGAAAGTAAGTCCTTGGGAAGATGACCTCAAGATCAGACTTTTGACGCCACTGTTACATATTTTTAAGTTCAGAGGCCGTATTCTCAAAAGGTTGCAGAGATCAGTAATCATGGCAATGATCGGAAATGATGGTACCGGTATACGAGTTTATCGGCGAGCATATCTTGTACATTTTATATCAAAAGCTGCTTTGCTTTGACCCCTAAAGTAATGTCTGCTTTGACAGTACTTTATATTTTAAGGACAACAGATTATTTTTATACTGAAAAATTTCATAATGGTTTATAAAAAGATAAAATGAAAAATTCTGAAATTTATTTACTAAAATTCCATACATAAACCATTTCTAACTACTAAATAATCTACGCAGGAGTAAATTGTTTCTGTACGGAACTAATCATACGATGAACAAAGCGTCAGGGGAAGTGTCGTTGGTAAGCGGGTGTTTCTCGATATATGTTTATAAGTGAAGAAAACAAAATAACAATACACGAGCCTTTTTAGATATCTAAAGCGGTCCTGATTTTACATACGGACAATGGCTGCTCATTTCTGGAAATACATCCCGAAGACCCCGAGCGAAAAGGGCGCGTTTGCCTTTATTATCGTCATGGGTTTCAGCAGTCTTTATTACATGCTTTTTGTCGTGCATCCAACAATATTTCAAGAAGCAACACCATGGTATTGCATCCATTTAGCTTTCATTGCTTTTGAAGCCATGAACGTTCTAGGAAATTTTTGGTACATTCTCAGCACGGACACGACCGAGGGCAATGTTGTTCTTCCTAGTACTCTGAAAGCTGGGTGGCGATACTGCACGGCATGTGAGGCCAACTTTCCCCCTCGCTCCCACCATTGCCACACGTGTAACCGATGCATACTGCAGAGGGATCATCACTGCTTCTTTACGGGGAACTGCATCGGCTTTGCCAACCACCGTTACTACCTTTGTTTCACCCTTCATGTGGCCATAGCTGGGTTTTATGCCGTTATAATGAATGCTGACTACACTTGGGCCGTCCTAGGTGGATTGTCTTGGACTTCACTAGTTTCCATGGTGTTACCAATTGTCTCTTGGATACTCGGACTGTCAGAGACATACACCTTTGCTGTGGCATTTCTCAGCGCTGGTTGCATAATAGCATTCTTATTAGCGTCCGCTCTAACTGGGTACCACTGTTTGCTCATTTTCAGTGGACAGACAACTTACGAGAGAACACACAATGTGAAGCAGTATGATCTTGGATGGATGGAAAATGTGCACCGAGCTTTGGGTGAAAACTGGATAGCTTCATGTTTGTTTCCTTTTGCACCGCTGAAGGTGAAAGGGGATGGATTTAAGTTTCCACAAAAAGGCGAGTTTGAGGACATAAAAGATATGTAAAAAAAAAATCCCCACTGAAAATTAGCCTTCTGAAATGATTCACAGGAGATATGTTGTCAAGAACTTTTTTGATTGCCACAGACCTTTAATTTTGCTATGGCACTATTAAGAGCATGTTGCATAATGACTTTCATACCAGTGACCATTTAAATAATCTGGATACCACTGTTTGTGACACCAAAGACATGTAAAAATATTTCTACCTACAAGATATTACTTGTCTTTTAAATGGGTCAAAGAGATATTTTCTACAATTCTAAAATCGGGATTATATAGCTTTTGCTTTATTACCCAATATGTGACCTAGGACTTTACCAATTGTGATTATGTTTAAATGTATGAAGTGACACGTGAGAATCTGTGATGCCAAAAATTTGTATAATTTATAAAGTGAACTAAAAGTCTATTTTGAAGAAGAACTTTGACTTGCTATTTTACAAGAACATTCGGCAAGAACACAGTAGAGAAAAGGAGCCCAAATATGTCTAAATAGCAATTCCCTAAAATGCTGTCAATTTACTTTTTATGTAATCTTGTTTTTGATAGGTATTTCTTAATTTTGTAATTGTACACTGATAATGTAATTTACTAAATGCTGTTTTTGATGGTTTGTTAAGACATGATTTAGACATGTCTTTATTCATTATAGTACATAGTGATTGTTTTAACATTAAATTGGTGTGCAGTGGAAGGAATTGTTGCATCAAATGTATAAAAGTGATTTTAAGAACTCATTTTATCTAAATGATCATCTCCAATTGGTTGTTCAAAAAGGGGGGGGGGGGGTGAACTCCCAAGACAGAAGTACATTGAGTACGATGAGAATTGTCAGTGGTATTTTGTCTCTTTTGCACACTGTAAAAGAGCTCAACCCCTTTGTTCAACGTAAACTACTTCAAAACTTCTTTTAAATTTAGTGGACATACTGGTACATTTGGTAGCTAGACATGACAACTATAAAAGGGGCTTTCTGTTTAAAAAAAAAACATTGGGGAATTATCCTCCACAGGGGTCTTTGTTGTTACGAAGTTGGACGAAAGACCATTAATCTACTCTGTATGTACCTCAGAAACTGGGAATGACAGAAACGTCTTATAATAGAAATAGCATTGTCCTCTGAAACAGAGATTAATCGGCCGATGTCAAAGTTTCTTTGATGTAACAAGACTGAGAGAAGTGCTTCTGTATTCTCAGTGGACAGGCTGAAGTCTCCCGAGAGAGAATGTCGTCAACTAGAAAAAAATTATAGACCCAGAAATAGCTTTGGATAAAAAAAGATGATAAAAAACCGTGGTTAAGACATAATATTTAAAGGATATTTTTTAATTACACTAAAAATTTATTCATTATTTATTCAAATTTATTCATTTTAAGACTTGCATTAACTTCGGAATTTCCCTTGATATTAGCCAGATTCCCAGAAATCAGAACGACACAGCCGATTACTTGAGCAAAATTATCGATTTTGACGATTGGGGGGTTTCGCAGGAGTTTTTTGAATTCATACAAGAGCATTTCGGCCCCTTTACCGTAGATAGGTTTGCTAACTCACAAAATACAAAACTC